TTATTTCCACTCTATTCTTCATTATGTTCTTCCTCTTTGCTTGTTTTAGAATTATTTAACTCTTCTTTTTCTAGTTTCTTACAGAGGAAATTTAGCTTTGAAATTTGGGCTTTGAAATTTTTCTTTTCTTAACAAAGGCATTCAGGGCTATGAATTTCCCTCTACACTCTTGCTTTAGCTGCACCCCCTAAGTCCTGGTATATTGTGCTTCTGTTTCTGTTCATATCGGAGTGGTTTTAGTTTCCCTTGTGAGCTCTTCTTTCACCCACTTGTTATTTAGGAATGTGTATTTTAACTTTCACATATTTTGGAATTTCCAAACTTCCTTCTGTGACTGATTTCTAACTACATTTCAAGGTAACTGAAGAACATAGTTCTCAAAACTTCAACCCTTTTACACTTACTAAGGCTCGCTTTGTGGCCTGGCATGTGGACCATCTTGGAGGATGTTCTATGACACTGAAACTGAACTCTGCTAGTGTTGGGTGGAGTGTTTTGTGAGTACCTATGAGGTCTAGCTGGTTTATGGTGTGGGTAATTTCCACTTCCTTGTTTTCCTCTGGATTACTTTTGACAGTTGGAAGCTCTCCATAACTCCCAGCCCCTGGTTTGAGGAGAGGCCCGCAGGCCTGTGGTTTGGAGCCTGCTCCTGGACAGAGTGCAGGCCTTGTGGTGCCGGGCCACAGAAGAGTCCCATTCCATTCTAAGATTCCAGTAAACTCCAGGCAAACACTCTGGACTCTGTGTGTCCATCTGTAAGGGGAGGTGATGGTGCCACCTGGCCATCAGGTCAGGAGGGAGGCAGCCCCCGTTCTGGCTAGGAGCGTGGTGAGGCAGAAACAGGAGGCCTGATGGGACAGGACTCTGGCTCTGAGGGTCATCAAGATGGTCAGTGCTGTCTCTGGAGCCTCCACAGCCTGCTGTTCCTGGGCTGTCCATGCTATGCCCCTGAGATGGCCACTTGGACTATCCTGGCTCAGTTTCCCCATCTGAAGGACCTGGCTTATAGAGGTGTGGAAGAGGTGGACATTCAGCAAGGGGCCTTTGACCCCTGCCTATGGCCACTGTGGAGTCACAAGAGTGACATCTTCCTTTTGTTCCCCTCAGGCCAACTGCAAGCCGTCCAGCAGCTGTGCCACTTCTATAGCAGTGTCATGCCCAATGAGGCACAGAGCGTCATCTACCATGAGTTCCAGCTCACACTGGCCCGCAGGAGAGCCGACAAGGCGTTGGAGGGACAGCTCCTAGAGGCCATCAGTCATCTGTACCTGTCACTGGGCACCGAGCGGTAAGGGTCGCACCCCAGTGTGGGGTGGGGCCAGCATGGAGACCATGCCCCATTCCTGGGCAACCTCCCTTTGGTGACCGTGGGGTTCCTGGCATCAGCTGATGGGCCTGGGGTCACTCTGTCCAATACTCATGACTGCGAGTCCCAGCTTGGGCACCCTCCCCTCTGCTCTCACCCCCAGACAAGCCTTGCCCCACAGATGCAGGGCAGCCATCGCTAGGTCACCCTTCCTGCCATGGTGGCTTTTGTGAGCTGAACTTTGCCTGCCCCGAGTCTTCAGTCACAGGGTGGCCGGGCCTCCTTGTCCCCCAGACATGACAGTGGCCATGTGTTCCCAAGGCTTTGCACCTAGAGAAGCAGAGCCGATCGTTCCACCTGCTTCCCTGGGACAGTGTCTTGGGACACATCCCTGTGGGGCTTACAGCCCACAGCCCCGTGAGGTCACTGCAGTGAACCCCACCGTTCACGTAGGACTCGCTGATAGCTGGGCAGGAGCCAGATGTCCACGAGGACTTGGGGGACGGGCTCCTGTCCAGGCGTTGAGTTCACAGCAGAAGAAATGGGCCAGTGCTCTAGAATGCTGCTCTCCAAGCGTGGACCTGGGCAGGCAGAGCTGCACCGCCCTGGAGGCCGCTGGAGGGGCTCAGCCTTGGCTCCTGCTGGGGGCAGAGCCTGGAGCAGGGCCCAGCGATCTGCCTGTGAACAGCCCTCTGCGCTCTGGGGCAGGCGCAAGGGTGAGAACCACCCGTCTAGGCCGTCTTTGAATCTCTGCCCTGTGCTGAGGGTTCCTGGTGTGCCCAGAGACGAAGCTGTGTGGGCAGGGACGGGAAGAGATGGGAGAGAAACCGGGGAGCCACGGGAAGCAGGCTGCTCCTGCCGGGTGTCTGGCCCAACGCCGCTTCCCTCTGAACAGTTTGCCTTTTCTGTACCTGATGACCATCTCCCAGCAGCCCTGGAGGGGCGGGTGCTGCACACGGCAAGGCCCACCCACCTGCAGACCCACCCTGGAGGAGCCCAGGCGGGTCCCAGGGCTCTTGCCTGACATCTGCGTCTGACTCCAGGGCCTACAAATCCGCTCTGGACTACACCAAGCGGAGCCTGGGGATATTCATCGACCTGCAGAAGAAGGAGAAGGAGGCCTATGCCTGGCTGCAGGCGGGGAAGATCTACTACATCCTGCGTCAGAACGAGCTGGTGGATCTGTACATCCAGGTGGGTGGTGCAGACGGGCAACCTGCCCGCGCTCACCCGCCACACGTCCACTCCACTCACCCATGTACCCATCCATCCAACCACCCACCTGCCTATCCACCCACCCACGCTCTCACTTACCATCCATCCACCAATCCACTCACCCACCTGCCTGTCCATCCACTCACCTGCCCACCCACTCATCTACCATCTATCCACCAATCCACTCACCCACCTGCCTGTCCATCCACTCACCTGCCCACCCACTCATCTACCATCTATCCACCAATCCACTCATCCACCATCTATCCACCCACCCACCATTGTCCA